TTTAAAAAAAAAAAAAAAAGAAAAAGATAATCCTAAAATTGAGTACCATTTAATAAATAAAAGATAACTTCTCTGACTCTGCGGGCCAGCCAAATAGCTCAGCAGATTAAAGTGCCTGCAAGCAGACACAGGGGCTGGGGTTTTGATCCCCCGGCCAGCCATGCCGGCCCTGCCCCTGGGGCATGCAGTCAGCAATTGAGACTGGGCGTGGTGGCATGTGCCTATAAGCCCAGCTCCTGGGAGGCTATAAACAGGAGAATCATTACAAGTTCAATCTAGTCCTGAGACCCTGAACACTCTATAGACCCTTCCCTAACAGAAAAAAAAAAAATAAATAAATAAAAATAAAAATAAGGGTAAGACTCCGAAGACAATTTGTTGTTTGTAGTAAAGCGGGTTGCACATGGAGCAATTCTGTGAAGCTGTGTGTGTTGGCAGGAGTGATGGTCCCCACGTGCGTTGCTGGGACCAGGGTTCTGACGTTGGGAGGAGACCCCATCCCTGGGCTAGGGAACTCCTGTGGCACAGAATGAGATCTACAGTACTGGGATCAAGCCAGGATTCTTAAGAAATAAATGACCCTAGCTTTGTTCACTGCAGTGATTCCCTGAGCTAGCAGGGAACACACTAGAGCTGGTTTTTAAATATTTTATTTTATTTTATTTTTAGTACAGGGTCTACAGGGTCTCACTATACAGATTGGACTAATCGTGATCCTCCTGTGTTCAGCCTCCCAAGCGCTGGGATTACAGGTGTGCACTGCCACGCCCAGTCTGTTGCTGCTGGGGTGGAGCTGGCATGGCCTGTGGTGCTGGGGACGGAACAGGTCCCTATATCTGCCTGAGATAGCTGAGCAATCTGGCTGGCTCTTAGAGCTAGTTTTCTAAATACTTTTCTCAAATAAAAGAGAGCCAGTGGGGTGCGGTGGCTCACACCCATAATCCCAGCACTCTGGGAGGCTGAGGCAGGAAGGTCAAAAGTGTGAGTCCAACTTGGACACTTCAACAGCTTTTCCTGAGTCTGTGTCAAAATAAAGATAAACCTCTCCTCTCGGGGCAGGGGAGATAGCTCAAGTCAAATAAGCGCTTGCCTGGCAAGTGCAAGGTCCTGAGTTCAATCCCAAGTACCACCAAAAACAAAACAAAACACCAAAACAAAACAAAAAACCACGATGAAACAGTGAAGACACTGGTTCCTTCCCAGTGTCTCACTCAGTAGAGTTCCAAGGGCTGTGGGCAGTTCTACAAACAAGACATATGTATCCTACAACCAGCACACCCTGCATTTCTTTGTGACAGGCAAACGAAATAGACTCTAGTTGAGAAAAAGAATCAAATGTGTGGCAGTACTTGGACACCAAAAACACAAAAAAGCAAGCAAGCAAATCTTTTGGAGAAGATTCATTTTATTCAGTTCAGTCCATTTTTGCCCCAGAATCTGCCTTGTAGAGGTCCATGCTTTGAAATTATCTAGGTTGCATTTCCATGAATGCCACAGTAAACCCACCTCCCCTTTTTCTTTAGCAAAAAGCAACCCTTTAATCACAAGGGAAAGAGAAGGAAAGACTGAGATATAGTTTCCATATTTTTTGTTTCGGAAAGGGGCTTAGTATGCTGCCCAGGCTGGCCTCACTCACAGCGACCCTCTCGCCTCAGTCTCCCCAGTGCTGGGATCACAGGTGTGCACTACTATATGTGTCCCCAAATTCGTCTCAACAAAAGTGACCCCAGGTCCATCGTCTTTTGGGTGGCACTTTCACTGCAGGGCTGTTTTGGGGTGAGTTGTTTCTCATAACTGTTGGCTGCCTCAGTGTATCATGGCAACGGAATGAGGATGAGTCCCCGAGAAGAGCATGGTGGTGCTGGGGAGTGACAGCCATTCCTCGCTCTGTCAGGGAGAGTGACAGTGGCCCTGGATGGCAAGGCACCAACAAGGTGTGTAACGTGTGGGCCCAGATCTCTAGAGCGGATGGTGTGTGACTAAGGAATCCAGTGAGGAAGGAGAAAGTGAGAGGGCGGGAAGGCAAAGGTCCAGGTTTCCCCTGGAGAAGCTGCGAAAAGTGGCCCCACCTGAGATGAGGGGACACTGACTTGGACAGTTTCAGTGTAAAACTGGAATGTCAGAGAGGTAGAAAGCCAGATCTGTGTCCTTCCTCTGTTGAGCGACATGGAAGGAGTTCCAGCGCTGGTGGGACACAGGACACCTGTTGGGAAAACTTCACAGGGTCTGCTGTGCGGCCCTGCAGTAGAGGACAATCTAACTGTGACCAGATGCTGCTACTACCCAGTGCTCTGTCCCAGGGGCCACAGGCAGGGACGGATTTCTTCCGGCAGGCAGCATCTGCTCCTGCATCCAGCACGTCCCTGGGGCTCCGTGCTGCCGGCCCCCTGCCAGACACCTGCTTCTTTAGCTTTCTCTGCAGTCTGAGCAGATGAGAGTACTGCCTCAGTGGTGTGTAATCAAGGGCTGGGGACTGATATGTTGTGTGCAGGTCACTTGGTCCAGAAAAAGGTAAAAACATTTGGGAAAGGAGAGCACAGTGGTGGCCGTGAGGGTGGGGAGCAATGTGCCCCAACAAGCGAATCTAATGTGCACCTTTACCCAGGTGATGGGAGAGTCCTGTGGACCAAAGTGCCAAAGCTGCTGCCTAACGGGTGGCTCTGTGGACACGGAGAGTCACAGTTGTTCCTTGTTTCTCCGGTAAGTGACACTGGTCCATTCAAGCTAGCCAGAGAGTGGGCAGGGGAAAGGGGCAGCTAGAGGGTTGGACCAGGTGGGAAGGGCCAGCTCCTTTAGGTGCGTTTTTGGCGCTTTGGTCTGTAGGCAATCAGGATGGAGAGAGACGCCACCCCAAAGAGGAAAGTCTGCAGGAACCAGAGCAGCCGCGCCCAGGGGTCTGTGATTCCCTTGTGCCTGGAGAGAGAGAGCAAAACTAAGCACCCGAATTAAATTTTATGGTTTCATAGGATTATTGTTTTCTTTTCTGTATCTCAGGCAAGGGGCTACAGGGTGTTCAGGGTCTCACGACTAGATGTAGTGATTCTCCTGTTTACAGCCTCCCAAGTGCTGGGATTACAGGCACGTGCCACCACGCCCAGTCTCAACCGAAGTCTCAGCAGGCTGGGTGAGCAACCCTGGCCCTGCGCCTGCTTGTAGGCGCTTTAATGTGCTGAGTTATTCGGTGGCCCTAGCATTACTCTTTTCGTTCTTTCTTTTTTTTTTTTTTTCTTTTTTCTTTGGGGGGGATTACTGTTTTCTGTTTTTTTTTTTTTTTTTTTTTGCGACAGGGTTTCCATATGTAGTTCAAGCTGGCCTTGAACTCACTATGGAGTCCTCATTGGACTCAAACTCACAGCAAGCCTCCTGCCTTAGCCTCCTAAGAGCTGGGATTACAGGTGTGTGCTACTGTGCCCAGCTCTTTTTTTTTTTTTTAAAAAAAAAAACAAGCCTGCTACCTGGATGTAGAACAGACTAGCCTCAAAATGATAATCTTCCTGCCTCAGCCTTTTGAACACTTTTTTTTTTTTTCTTCAAATAATGGAGAGCTCAGAAATAGTCAAGCCAGGCACGGTGATGCACACCTGTAATCAGACTAAATACCTAAGTGGGCCAAAGGCATGAAACTCATTTTCTTTGCAGTACTGCTGATCATAATAAAAACATCCAGAAGCTCAGAAGTCTATCAGAGGGAGGATTTCTTAAAGACATTGAGGCGCATCCATGTAATGAAATACTATGGATTAATATGAATGGATGAAGTATATTTATAGGCACAGACAGGGAAAAACAGGCATATATAACAATGGGGATGGCTGAGCATGGGGCACATGCCTGTCATCCTAGCACTGGGGAGGCTGAGGCAGGAAGATCGTTGTGAGCTCAAGACCAGCTTGAGATACAAAGTGAGGTCAAGGCCAGCCTGAACTGCACAGTGAGACCTTATCTCAAAAAGACAAAAACAAACAAACAAACAAAAAATGGTGAAAGGCTATAGAAGACATTATGGAGATGTGTATAAAGTTGTTTATAAATTAAACTCTTACTAATGACTTTTAGGATAATGGGAAATCTTCACATTCAGTTGCTATGCTTCTGAGTTTTAAGCACAACACATACAACTTTGATCAGCAGATGTGTGTTTTGAAATGAACAAGGAGAAAATAAACTTACATTATCCTAGAAGCATAGAAGATACAGTACTTAGAAAGGAAATAAAAGATTTGCTGCCACTTCAGAATCCTAGGCTCAGTGAAATAGCACTGTTTGTTTTTTCTTGTTGATTTGTTTTCGAGACAAGCTCTCCCTATGTAGTTCAGGCTGGCCTTGAACTCGCTATGTAGCCCAGGATGGACTCACACTTGTACAGTCCTCCTGCCTCAGCCTCCCGAGAGCTGGGATTACAGGTGTGCACCCCCATGCCCCACCAGTCTTCCGGTTTTCATCAGAGGTCCCCAATGCCAATACAAAACCCAGTGTCAGGACTGCTGCTTTCTAAGTTCCAGGGCTGCATGAAACACCCGCAAGGCAAGACTTCACCGTGAGGCTGAACAGGGCAATGGAAAGAGGTAACAGAACACAGAACTTCAGCAATTCTGATCATAAGTCAAGCAAAGTGAGTTGTTTTTTCCGAAGCACGTGGAGCTGGACATGAGGCCCCTGGGGCTTGAGAAAGGTTCATTATCTGACTCAGAAGTTTAACGCCAGGCCAGCCTGCTGGGTGAGAGCACTGGGACTGCACACTCTTGCAGAGCATCACACGGACAGAGTTCTCTGTGGTGCTCTAAGAAAAACACATTCTTTTGTCAGAAGTAAGATGATCCAATCAGAAGCTCTGGGTCTGGAAATCATATATATATATTTTTTCTTTTGGGACACACACATATATATATATATTTTTTGGTACAGGGTCTTGCTGCGCATTTCAGACCCGTAGTCATCCTCTTGTCTCAGCCTCCCCAGCATTGGGTTACGTGTGCTGCCACACTCAGTTTCAGGGTAACACGGCACACCTCAGATTGCCGGGCCAGCATGGCATACAGTACTCGGGATTGAACTCAGGTCCTTGTGCTTGTCAGGCAGGTGCTTAGCCTGCTGAGCTATCTTCCCAGCCCAGACACATATATTTTGGAAAAGTTATCGAAGTGATTTGGTTGTCAAATCATATTAGAATCATCAACTGTTAATGATTTAGCTCTTTCTCTTTTTCTTTTTTTGGCGGAGCCAGGGATTGAACTCAGGCCCTTGTGCTTATTCTACTGAGGTATCTCTCCAGCCCCAATTTAGCTCTTTTCAAACTAGAAGACTTAATCTTTTGTTCTAGTTGGGGCTTTATGGAAAGCTTTAAAAATATAATAAAAATCATCCCAACTAAACAATCAAGTAATTAATGAACACAAACAACTGAATTCATTCATCAAACACTTACTGAGTCCTATCTCTGCCAGGCTCAGAATTGGACACTGGGATCTAAATCTACCCCGAGACTGCTCTCAGCCTACAGGAGCCTGAATTATTTAGATGGAACTATTCTCAACTCAGAGACCGTGACTTACTTGCACAGCACGATGGCGCACAAGGACTCTCCAGCGTGAATCAGCCAGGCAAGCCAGTATCTGAAGCGAAGACAACAAAAGAGTTCTAGTTTAAGATGACGAAGTTACCACAGAAGTCTTAAAAAGCAGAGTGTCTTTTTTTTTTTTTTTTTTTTTTTGGTGGAACCAGGGATTGAACTCAGACTCTTGTGCTTGCCAGGGAAGCGCTTATTCTACTGAACCATCTCCCCAGCCCCCAACGAAGTGTCTCAATGAGAACTGGCTTTACTGTTGGACACCTAATGCCACCTCCAGGCGTCCAGGGAGCCTTACCCATTGCGCAGGAGGGTGTGATGGTGGCCCGCCAGGTACTGAGTGAAGGAGCCCAGGGGCCCGAGGCTCTGGTAAGGGATACTCTGAGGCCAGAAGACCACCCACTGCAAGAGAACCCAAAACACAGAGGAGGTAGTAAGTCATCAAGATCAGTCCATGTTGGAGCGCAGCTGTAAAATAATACTGTTTGTGATAACTACAGGGTAAGGAACCTCTGACCCAAATAGTTTGCTCATCCAGTTTTGACTTCTGTTTTCTAAAAGTAACTTCATTGGGAGTTACAGAGGAAAACTTATGGTTATCAGACTCAGTGCTCAGGGTGACTGACTCCTAATGGATTTCAGCAGACTATAAGAGAGGTCACTAATAAATTTTTAAGACTGTGTCTTGGCAAGTTCTTGGTTCAGAAACTATGACTTGAACCCCACTTAATTCAGAACTTCTTCCTTTTCTTATTGTGCCCATCAAAATAAGAATGACCCACTGCACAGATGTGGAAAATATGGAGGTCCAGAGTTGTAAAATTTTTTTTTTTTCAAAGTTTTATTGCCAAACAGATAGCAATGAGACAGTTTCAAATCAAATCGGAAGGACAGTTTCAACAAATAATACACTGCATATATTCTTCTTAGTGGTTAATTGCTGTACAAGATCAGAGTTGTAAAATTTTAATAGCAATTTGTACAATCACATACGATTTATGCACTGAAATTATCGGCCTTTTGTTTTCCACCTTGTATTCTCTACTAGTTTGTTTTTCTGAAAATAATTAAGTGCAAACAGCTTCAAAATTCAGCCTCATTCAGCCCTATCAAGATACTGTCTTTCCTACAATGTACGTCCACATAGGCAATTAAATTGCCACTACATTTTCAGGAAGCTCAGGGAACAGAAAGGGCATCTGACTGCTCCACAACACCCCAACTTGAAGTCCACAAAGTTTTCTTCCTTCTGTATTCTAATTAGTCAGAGACACGAAACTGGAGAACTGAAATGCACCTTGGAAAAATTTCCTTTCAGTGTCTTCACTCTGCATATGAGGAAACCGGGACAGAGGTAGTCATCCCTGACACCAACAACCCACACTCCAGGCATGACCGATTCCTAGTCTCCGGACCTCCTAGGCAATATCGAAACAGCTTTACCTTCGCTCATAATTATACCAATGTAGCCCTGAATTTATCTCCCAACATCATTCTCATCATCTTTAAACACACTCTCAGCTGAACCGAAGCCACTCTTCCTCTGAGAGTTGTCTTGCTTTCATACCTACATCAGACATCCTCACTCTTACCAGTCAAATCCCGCCCATCCTTTAGGTTTATTCCCAGCTGCTTCATTCTGCTTCGGAAGTCCTGATCCTGAATTGACAGGTCTAGGGCATACCGTGGACTTTAATTCCGCCTGCGTGACAGGCTTAGACCAGTGTGAACCTTAGTAGCTGCACAAGTGGGAGGGGATGGCGAGAGGACCAAGAGCTCTCCAAAGGTAAGCTGGTCCTCGCCTAGCTTCAGCGGCACACACTGTTACCCTAAAGGCGGTCGGGTGTTAATGTTGTAGGCAGCTGAATTAGATACAGATATTACAGGAAGGCAGACAGGGCTAGGCCCTCAAAGGAGACAGCACGGAAGGCAAGACACCTTGCAACCCTGAGAGAGACGGATGCTCCCGCTGTGGGCCAGACCTAAAGACAGCAGATCGAACAAATGCACACCTTGCTAGAAATAAACATCGGGGATTGATCATCAACTTGAGGAAGCCAGGAAGTCACTTATCCAACCGCTACAGGCTACGAGATAAGCTCCTGTTCTCTATTCATGCCCACTTGCTACGTGACTCGTTTCTTCACTCGATCCTGGATTTAATCAATGTCACCCGAGCAATGGTGCTTGTGACCTTATTGGTTGACCACAGTTTTGTCCCACCTCATGCCCACCTAAGCGCACGGTCTCCACCTCCGACCCGTCTCACCACGAGGTTTTACTTTGTAAAAATCCCTGGAAGAGACAGCTTCCTGGGGCAACCCACTTGGGCCCCGCTGCTGTCCCTCTCTTGGACAGAAGCTTTCTCTCCCCCAGTAAATACATCCTGCTCTTAACCTCCGTTTGTTCCAAAAATTCATTGTTCAGTTTTGGAGAACACGGACTCCTTCCGGGTCCCTTTCAGGCTGGGAGTCCCAGTCCCCTGCATCCCTAAGAACCCGTGGCAACTTTCGCGGTCAGCAGGCTAGTAACCTAAGCAACCAGCACGCGCGCATGCGCACACGCCCTTCCCACGGCCCCCCGCGACCCTACGAGGGCCCGGTGGGCTCAAAAAGATCGCAGTCCTCACCGTGCAGTATCCCAGCCCCAGGACTGTGATCAGCGCGGGCAAAAGTCTGGCTGAACGGAAGTAGGCAGTGGCATCTCTCCTGGCCTCCGACTTCGCCACCACCATGTTGAAAGAATCAATGGGTGGAGAGCCGCCCTGCCCATACCTAAGAAAAGCCTGCCCAGCCGGTTTCTCCGAGCTTTGGGGGTGGGGTGGGGGCTGGCCCGGGCCTCCCAGTGCGCCTGCGCGGCCTGGCGGTCGCCTGCGCCTGCGCGGCCGGTCCCCCGGGCTGGCGCGCATTCCGCGGCCGCGGTCCTTACCGTGTAGTAGCCAAAGGAAACGGTGATGACCGTGAGCCAGAACAGGCTTCCCCTCTGGAAGTAGGCTGCGTCGCCGGCCGTCAGCGCCATCGCGGCCGCGCCTCCCTGCCGGTGCGCGCCGCAGCTGGGGGCGTGGAGGCGGGAGGGGCGGAGCGATCGCCACCCGGGGCGGGGACGTCGGGCGGGTTTTGGGGTATCTGGGTGACGCGGGGCGAGTGGGGCGGTGCCCGGCCTGGAGGAAGGCGCCGAGCTGTGCTGCGCAGCCGGAACTCCGCCTGCGGGCTCTCCTCCTCTCTAGGGGAGCTGCTAATGCTGGAGTCACCTTGCTGGGTGTAAGATAAACCTGTTAAGAGGAGACCGCGCTCACCGCGACGGCAGCAAGTGTGTGTGTGTGTACGCGTGTGTGTGCGCGCGCACAGGGACTCACTACGCAGCTCAAACTCCTAGGGATCCTCCTGTTTTCAGCCTCCCTAGTGCGGGGAAGTTGGCTCTGTAGTTCAGGCTGGTATTGGATGCACGAGGTAGCTCAGGCTGACCTTGGACTCATGGTGATCCACTTGCCTTTTCTCTCTCTCTCTCTCTCTCTCTCTCTCTCTCTCTCTCTCTCTCTCTCTCTCTCTCTCTTTTTCATGAGTCCAGGTTTTGAACTTTGTACCCTGTGTTGTGCTTGCTGACAAATAATGCTTTTCGTCTTCCCTGGTTAGGATGTCATGAGTATTTTATCCATAAGATTGGTCTACTGAATATCAAGACACTATTTCTTTTTTTCGTTTTTATTATTAGTTTTTATTTTTTCCCCTGGAACAGCGAATTGAACTCAGACCCTTGCACTTGCCAGGGAAGCGCTTATTCTACTGCGCCATCTCCCCGGCACTGAGCCATCTCCCTGGCTCAAGACACTATTTCAGAAACTATGATAATTACAGATATTTGGTATTTGACATGGAAAAGTCAACAAATGGAAAATAATACTAACTCTGCAGCTGGATCTGATACATCCCCAAACATTTATAAGGAAGGTAAGAGCTGACTGAAGGGGAGAGAAAGGACAGCCCACTAAACTATTCTGGGACAACTGGTTGTCATGCAGAAAAACTCTTTCTCATCTCCCAAAACACGTACAGAGGCCAATGATGAAATATTGGTAGGCTTAGAGAGCAGTAGGCCCTAATCCCCAAGTTCCGGTGTGAAGGCCAGAGAGTGAAATGGGTCTTAGCAGCAGCCCGAAATGTCAGCAAAGCTGTTTCTTCTGGTCCTGCAGGGTGAGGCTTGTCCCTGTCAACAGCCTGAAAACACAAGACATGGACTCTTACCCATTCGGTGGCTGTTCAGAGCAGGTGTGAGCTCTCCACTCACTACCACGCATCCCCAAATATGTGTGATTGATTCTTTTTTTTCCTTATGAGACTGGGCCTCACTGTGCAGTTCAGGCTGGCCTTGAACTCACTTTGTAGCCCAGGCTGGCCTCAAACTCATAACAATCCTCCTGCCTCAGCCTCCCAAGTGCTGGGGTTACAGGCAAGAGCCACCACACCCAATGTGTGATTTCTACTTTACTGATTTTTTAAGTTTTTAAAATTTAAATGGTTTTTCAGAAATGATGTTCCACAAGCACATGAGGTAGTGACTTAGAGGTGACACTTAGTGTAGTGTATTACCAAAATCCTCATGCAGGGAAGAGCTAAAGTCCTATGTCCATAACATGGGAAGCATGAAAGAGCATGCAGTCAGGCTGTGCCAGCAGAATCTGCTGTACCCATCCAGATAACAATGCCCTTCAGGCTCCTGACTTCAGTTCCTGCCCAAGGAAACTTTAGCTTGTGCAAGTTCTGCGGAATCAGGACTTTGGTGGAGATTACCTGTGGACTCCTTATTTGCCACAAATAAACCACATGTTGTCTGACAGCTATTGCTGGCGTTCTGTTTTGATTCATTCTCACCAAGAGGTTAAGCCTGGTAATTGCCGTTAAACTTGGCAATAGGTGCTGCAGTGGATTAGTGGCTCGTGCCTTCCCCAGGATGGTAGCTGGGAGCAGTCTTGGAAAAAAAAAAAAAAAGACTGAGAATTAGGAGGAGTTTCTTGTGACTAGATGAAATAAGTTTGAAGTTGTGGGCCTCTGTATTGAGCTTAGCAAGAAATTGGTTAAGACAGCAACACTGAGGTATTGTGCAAGACTCGGATCGAGAGGACACTGGATGTTTTCTTTTTCTGTTTGGAAAGTGGTTGGTTTAGAGGAAGCACAAAGAAAAAAAATTCTTGCTATTTACATACTTTAAAAAAATTACTTATTTGGTACAGGGTCTTGCTATGTAGGTCGGACTCATAGTGATTCTCCTGTCTCAGCCTCCCCAGCACTGGGATGACAGATATGCACCACCACACCCAGTTTTGGTGGCTGGCACAGCACGGGGTTGGCACACCATGTGGTACTAGGCATGGAACCCAGGTCCTTGCATTTGCCAGGCAGGCGCTTAGGCCACTGAGTTGTCTCCCTGGTCCTACATTTTATACTGCAGGGAATGGAACACACAGGGTCTCCCCCATGTTAAGCTAAGTTTTTCCACTGAGCTACCCTCCAAGCCTAGTGTCTTCTTTATTCAAAGCTGATTGAACTAACCATTGTGAAGCGGGGAGAAAGAGGCAAGCAAGTAGATAAGGTCTTGTTGGAGAAAATGTGGCCAATGAATGGGTAATGGACGGAAGCACAGATTGCTGGTGCTCTGTTTGCCAAATTCACCACATTTGGGGGTTGTGGGTTTAACACTGTGATAGGAATTTATTTATTTGAAAAGGAATGAGAAGGATTTATGAGAGGTAGATGCAGGATGCACTCAGGAACAGAGTTCGGGAGCTCCACATGGGAAGTAAGCAAACCAAAGACTAAAGATTTTTAGATATTTAAGTTACATGAACTTACAATAGAAAAAGTGAATTTAAATTCACTGGATCAAAAAAAAAGTAGAGAAAATGTCCTTAAATTCAAGGGTGGGGGAATCACCTCAGGAAAACACGGGGTGCCAAAAATCTTAAACTCCAAAGTATTCAAAGCCTACCTAACCCACAGATTTTTTTAAAAAAATTATTTATTTGGTACAGGGTCACACTACACAGCTCAGACTTGTAGTGGCCCTCCTGTTTCAGCATTGGGGTTGCAGGCATGTGCCACCATGCCTGGTCTTGGGGCTGGCTCAGCATGCCCAGGGGCAGGGCTGAAGTGGCCTGTGGTGCCAGGGATCAAACCCTGGTCCTTGTGCTTGCCAGGCAGGCGCTTAGACTGCTGAGCTATCTCCCCAGCCCACCTTTTCCTTTTAAGAAGCTGATCATTTAAATCAAATGACCACAGTAATAAGTTGATTTGGGTCAAAGTATTTTCTTAGGTTTCCAGGATGCATGTTGTGGCATCTGAAGTTGGTGCGCAGGCCAGGAGGGTAGAACACGTCTCAGCATCTGGAGACATGCAAGCCTGCTGGAGCTGAATATTTTCTGTTGCTTGTTTTTTAGAGTGCTGGAGATGCTTCACTTAGGTAGCACAGGTATAATGCACAAAGGATTTTTGCTGATATGATTTCATATTATCCTCAGGAATGTGAAAAGTGGAGCATTTATCACATTTCATAAGGCAAGAACTGGTTACCTCTGGCAGTTCTTCCCTTGTTGTTGGGCCACTTCATCCTTTGGTTTTTCTCCCCTTTCATTATTTCTTCTCAAGAAAAGTTCTTTTTCTTTCTTTTTTTCTTTTTTGTCTTTTTAAAAATGTTTTTTTAAGACAGGGTCTTGCTATGAAAAATTCTTCTGTATTGAAGTTAAATAAAGCTGTTCCTCGGCTTCTCTTCAGCTACTCTAATGCTGTGTGACCCTATCTATTGCCATGGTTTAGACCATCAAATATCTCCCATCATCCACATCTGCTATACAGAGGTCAGGCATCTCCATGCAGCTGACTTTTGTATACATACAGAGCCCCAGACTAAACTCTCATTTTTCACTGAGCATATCCAACGGTATGCCTATCATGTCCAACCGAATCATCAACTAGTTCAGTGATGATAAACAGTGCCCTGAAAGCTAATTTCAAATAAACTTTGATATGAAATGAGGCAGGAAATCCTCCAGGCCAGTCACTTCGACTGCTCTCTTCCCTGACATCTAAAATCAATCACATGGGAGGGCAGGGAGGTGCAATGCTGAAGAGAATTATTTTCAAATGCAAGATTATGTGAGTTCCAAACACTTGGAATGATTTTTCCAATATTTTAAACCTAGATCCTTATTTTCAAACACTGTCTTAACTATGATTTGTTTCAAAACTGTCTTTGAAAGCCAGAAGTTTAAACTATGAGTTCAAATGAGGGTCACAAGAATCCTGTGAGAGAGACAGGCCAGGATTTATCCGTCCCATTTTTCAATCACTCACTGATTATGGGACAGGCATGGAGCAAGGTGCTGAGGTATAGCAGTGCTTATGACAAAGAGTTCACAGGGCAACAGACAACTACTTAGTAAACTGAGGCACAGAGTGTTACGTGACTTATCCACTGTTGAGGGAAAAAGCCAGGTGCTTGGGAAGGTGGGACCAGAGCTAAGAGAGTCCGGGACAGGGCTCACAGCAAGTAAAACTGATAGAGAAGCAGGACCACATGCCAAAACACATTACAAAATCTGCTGGCTACAAGCATAACATAATTTTATCTTCACTATGATTAAATTTATGTCTATGAATTATACTATTGTCCAATGGCATTTCTATATTTGTCCTGAAACCACCAATCTGCGAGGACACAGTAACTCCACAGATAGCTTGAAGTGACTGTCACACTCCAATTTTGAGAACTGTATTAAAATACTTCAATTAAATCCATGAACTTAGATGTATAGCACATATATGGTACATGAACAAGTTTGGGAAAACTTTCTTTTCCATCCAGAGGATTCCAGTAAGGTATAGATATGAAGGAACTTAGAGCATTTGTATGCTACTTGCCATAAGTTTCATTATTTTGCTTGTAGAAGGACACAAAGTATCATATAGACATATGTCCTCATGAAGCTAAACATTACATAGATTTATACAAAGATTACACTTGGATCTGTGTGTACAGCACCTACCTGCCAACGCAAACCACTGTAAGGTAAGTGCTTATGTGAAACAGGACCTCCTGCTTCATGGAAGGGCTGAGTCCGTGGAGAACTGTCTGTGCCACAC